AAATGACTGTTGTATTAAAATAATTAATTTATGTTAAATTTAAGATGCACTAGTCCAGCTGTTACAGTTTACATATCAAGGCTGCTCAAACATTTTCCCCAAAATAAAAATATATCAGAGGGCTGCAGCCAAATGCAATAATATAATTCATGAAATACAAATACTTCTTGAGTACAGTCCTTTTATTTTAATGATTATGTCCTGCTGGAGTGTGACATGATTTGTTTGTGTACAAACTAATACGGTATCAGTATTTTATATATTTGTACTACTCATTCAACCACAATTAAATTCACTCTATCTAGGAGGCACAGTTTAAATGGATAGTATTTATTTTTTGCGATAACAAGCTGGAATGAAAACAAGCAAAAATAATATAAAAGTAACAACTTTCTATTTCTTGCCTTTTTTTAAAAATGTAAGGAGTAGAAAGTACAGGTAACTGTGTGAAAATGTAAGAAGTGAAGTAAAAAGTAAGCTGAAGAATAATTCCTCAAGTAAAGTACAGATACCCAAAAATTCTACTTAAGTACAGTAACAAAGTATTTGTACTTAGTTACTTTACTGAATTGGCTGAATTGCATATTTTACCCTTTAAGTACAAATTAAAAGTTTGATTAAAATATTAAATAAAAGTAAGAGTAACAGAATGTGAAAGGTTTATCAACACAAAGCATTTTTTTATTTGCAAAGCGAAGCTAAAATATGAGGCTACAGATGATAATATGTTGAGACCGATTCAAGAGCCGGCCCTCTGAAAACAGCCGAACCTACCATCACCGGTCCACCCAGCCTCGTACCATAGTGTCTCGTCTCTCTAATGTCCTCATGAGGTAAACTGATATTGACATTGTTGGTATAGTTTCTTCCACGCCTCGCCCAGCCCACAGRGTGCATTGTGCTCACAGAAAAAAAAGCGCAATCCCAACGTGCAGCTGAGGTGTGCCTCCATACTGCTGCGTGTCTGGGAGCGTGTCGGAGTGAGTGCTGGGTGTTTGTAATCAGAGCAGCAGATTAGTACCCTGCAGTACATAAGTAGCTGTGCAGACGTATCATTTTCCCAGCATGCTCTTATTAACAGCATTGCTCCAGTTTAACGGAGCCGCGGCACGATGTGGGGCAGAGCAGGACCCTCTGGTTCGTTTCCTCAGCTGTAACAGAAAATTACCCCGCTCTGCTAATCGACTGTGTGACACAACATGACGCTTGTGAAATACTCCAGGCTGTCGTCTGTGTGTTTGTACCGGTTGAATAATTAACATAAAAATAACGTAGATAACTGAACAATACTCTGCTTGTCTTTTTATCTTTGATATTTAAAAATAAACAAGCACTAAGTCACTGTTTAGGTTCACTGGGTTTTCCACTAATATACTCAGGAAGTAAGGCCACAGCTACCAAATGAAGTCTTTCTTTGTTGGTTTCTGCTGACAGATAACACTGATTTTCTTCCATTTAAAGTTCCCTTCATGCATTTCAACCCCATCTGGCTCTGTTTTTGTTCTCTTCTGTGGGTTTTTTTTCCCTTTCTTTCTTGTTCTCACAACCTTTTTCAGACAATGCCAGAAACTATTCTCAGAGCACGTCTGATAGACACAGACCGCGGCGTTACACGAGTTCTTCCTTTATTGACATTGGTCTTCTGCCAGGTGACATCAGTGAGAGCTGTTCGCTGCTTTGTAATGCTGATTCGCTTTTCTCTTTTCCTATGAAATTTATCGTCTGACGAGCTTCTATAGAACAGTAGCAACATCGGCGATTCCCACATTAGGGTTTAATCTGTCCTCTGGCAGTTGAGATGCTGGTGTGAGCGAACAACGTCACACCTTAGAGCTTGTTTAGGATTCAGTGATGTACTTAAAGGCCTGAAAGATTTACGGGAATGCATACATGCCACCTTCATCCCAAAGTTTTAGACCAAGCCTATTCAACTGATGGCCCGCGGGCCACTTCCGGCCCACGAGTGACCAAAGTTTGGCCCGCCAATTGGTTCATTCATCTCTTGAGCCCAAACCCCCGGTTTCTATTTTAATTACTATAAGTTATTTTAGTTAGACATTTTCATGTGTGGTATCTACAGAAATGTCAGAACCTTGGCTACAAGTTGGTAAAAACCATTTCAATGAACACCTGAGACAGTTAAAACTACAAACAGTTGAAGATAAAACTATGAAAGTGAAAATAAAATTGATTTAAACACATGGCAAGTCAGAGGTGTCAAAATATTATTTATGGTAAATAAGAAGCATAATATGTTATTTTTGTTTTTGTTGTTTTATTATCACTACTTTTATTAAACAGGGTTCTGTATGTTGTATTCATGATTAAATGCAGCAAAATAAACTATTTCAAAGGTAACAGATCTTTGCAATACTTGGTTTATTTACATAATGACTTTAATTGCTGGATGATCAGCCCCTCAGCTGCTGGCCTGCAMTAACTGWCGCCCCCTGAGAAATTTAGTTGAATAGCCCTGTTTTAGACTAAGATCATCTTATGTTGAGAAAATGCACAATTGTAGCTGTTTTGATCAAATTTTTAAAAGTTTTACATGATCTTAAATATTCCGTTTACGCTTCAAGTATGTGTTGTGAATCCTAGCTACTGCCGCACCAAATTTGAGCTCAGCATTTTAAAAATTAATTGAGGTGTTGCCATTCCTTTCATTTCTGAGGTCAGTTGGCCATGGCAGCCATCTTGAATTGGGTTGACTCTAAAGGTTTAATCATTTACAGATGAGACAATTGCTTTCTGATAGTTTCATTTAAAGCCACCCACTGGCTCATGAGAAATTTTAAAAACAGACAAACACAATGTCAGGTTGTAAAAATCATACATTAATGCTACAAAATATCTCTTATAATTTGAAGCATTAGGAGGAGGAGCCTCGTCTTCCTCTGTTTCTGCATTCTGCATGCCTGGACACTGACTCATCAGCAGAGTTTTGTCCAGGAGCTTCAGCTGGACCCACAGGGCTCCATGGGGCCCATTGCCAACAGTAACTGTTTTGAGAAAAGGGAGTTCACTTGGACGAGCCGAGACTGACCTTTGACCTACCTTCCATGACTCATCTCTTTTTAGAGTATCCAAAGGGAGGCCCTCCCGTGCCCCGAGACAACCTTTACTGCCCCCCGGTGACCCCGCAGCTTCATCTGTCTTCTGTCAGAAACAGACTCTTTCTGCGAGGAGCTGCTCGCTTCACCGCTGACACCAAATTCTTCTTTACTCTCCACAGAGAAAGAGAATCCCTACGAGGATGTTGACCTGAAGCGGAAGAGTTTCGGTCGGAAGTCTGGTCTGTCGGAGAGCAGCAGATCGTGGACCACAATGGACAGGAAGCTGAGCTCCCCACCTCAGGTAAGTCATGGGGTTGTTGGCACTCGTGTTTTCCTTTAGCAAACACAACACAGGTTTTTTTCTTTGATACCGAACATATCCTGTCTGGGAGTCGGTGATAAGTCATTGATAAGATCTTTAAAAGAATGCCCACGACTCAGTGGTGTTGTTGGAGAAAAGTGGGAGAAAGAGATTCTTTAGGATAAACTTAAATAAACATTACACCATGAGAAAGCATAGTCTAAATTAATATTTAGGGAACAAAGGAAGAGCATGTATTTATGTAAGTAATTTAAAGGTAGTCATTACCCTCAATCAAAGATTTTTATTTTAATCTTTTAGAAAAGTTATAAGCTTGATTGGAAAGCAGTTTCTGCAGCAGGATGTCCTTAAAGGGATGAGTAGCCGTGTTTCCATCAATGTTTTTTAATGTGCATTTTYGAGTATCGCATCAGAAAAGGTGAACAGAAACGGCTCGATTAAAAAAAAATTCCTCTAACTCGCAAAAAAGTTGATATGCTCGTTTGAGGTGGTTTTGGGGTTTTTCGGAAAACAGTTAATGCGTAAAAGGAGAGATGGAAAAACATTTGCCGAATAAGTTCTGACGTAGCGAACATTTACCTCATATGTTGATCAGTTGTTCCCGCTGTCTGTCCGGTACCGGTACCAGAGCGACTGCAGCTGGACCCTCCTCCCGCTGTCGGCGTATTCTCAGTTATTCCCGTAACGTGAAGAGAATTGCATTTCTTTCTCTACGTCTCCAGACAGCATGTAACATCGCCAAAACTAGTTGATAGAATAATTACAACTTTCCCGACAGTAGCATTGCGCTCCTGATAACTTCTCTCCATTTTCCTGAGATGCGTGGACCCTGCGAGTGCGACTTTTACTTCCTGTTTACTAAACGCATGCGTCTGACGTAACCGATTCGCTTCAAGCCAGTTGATGGAAACACGTCTAATTCGCATTTCTTCATTTTTTCCTTTTTGCAAAATTTAAAAAATTTGCTCAGATTTCAAATTAAAATTGGATGGAAACACGGCTATTTTCTCTGATGGGGCTGGTGTTGGGTCAAAGTGGAGTACAAAGCCCTGTTCACATTTACCCCATAACAGATTATTTTAAATGTGTCATTACCCACATTTAATTACACATTTCCTAGATTTGTTTGATCCACACTAAATGATGCAGTAATTATGCCAGGCCTGCAAGTGGCGCTGCAGCAGTCCCACAGAAATACATCAAATACAGGAAACAAGACATGGAGCCTACACTTGTGGTTCCACTGTAAACAAGGCTGGTGATTACCAAAGCAAGAGCAGATTCAAACGGAAATAGAAAAAGCAAAGAAACAACTGTGATCACTTTAGCTCTGTTTAAACAGCACAGACAGAAAAAAATGTGTTTGTTATTCATTCAGCCAGGAAATAACGTGGAAGATCCTTAACTCTTAGTAAAAAGGGCCTCAGTAGGTGGCTAATATCTCTGTTTACCTTCAGCAAGATGTCAGTCTGAGAATGTCAGAGAGGAAAAAAYAGATACCACAAATGACCCTTTATGTGCATAACTGAGGTACTTCCAGCCATTTTACTGCTTAATCAGTCACTACTGTACCATTTCTGAAAATCTGAACTTTATTAGTTTAGAATTTGATTTATGTGACTCTGATTTAAGTTTAACCATATAATAGCCTCTTGGTTGAGACTGAAAAAGCAACACTGAGGCTGAATTGGGGGGAAAAGGGTGGGAACTGATGTTGGCTATTACTCATTTTACTATCTGATTTATTGTCTGAAGCAAGCAGTTTGAGCAACGACTTCCATCGTTTTAAATGTTTACAAAAAGCTGATGAATGAACACATGAATGAGGAGTACCAGACTGGTCTGTTTTCTTTGCATCTAGCTGCCCTCCAAACCCAGCAGCCAGTCTCTTCGCCTCCCGGGTCCGAGCGACAGGAAGAGCCACCAGACGTCGAAGCGCTACAGCCACGACGAAATGCTGCTCATTCCCCAGATTGGGGTCTCGACGTCACCCTGCAGCCTGCTGGATGAGAATCTCTGCAGCACCAGTGATACACTGTCTTCACGCAGGCACTGGAGGATCCCCAAGGTACACACCACCGGGTCCTGCACAAACAGCTACAGAGAGTTTCTGCCTCACAGACCGGCTCCGGTTTCTGTAGTCAGAGCAGTTCTGGATCATTAGTAACTCCTTTATTTGGATAAATACGTTTTTAAAGACACAGCGTCTTCATGCATGCATAATTACTGTGAGAATTTCAGCCCTCGAGGGTGATTTTCTCAAAAGCTGTCTGATGGATTTGGGTTTAATGTTCTAAATCTTTAACATACATGTCAAGTATTTGACACTGTTGTTCTTGGTCAGGAACACGCTCGCTTCCTCTTTACTCAGGATCAAAAGGCAGGCAGAGCTTTGAGTTCCTTCATGGAGAATTTCCTCTTGTCTCTGTTTACAGCTGGTCCAAAGGATCAACTCCATTTACTGCACTAAACGAGGGAAGAAGAGGCTAAAAAAGCTGTCCATGTCCAATGTTGAGACGGCGTCCCTCAGAGGTAAGAGTCCCCTTTATCCACAGGCCAGATAAGTGACTAAATATTTACATCTCCTCCACCCACAGAGAGCTCTCGTTCTGTTTTTCTCATGACAAACATTAAACTACCCCCACAGGACTACAGAAAATCTAACAGTTTGTCTAATATTTGTCTTTAGATGACAACAGTGAGAGTGAGAGTGACTCTGATGACCGGTTCAAAGGTGAGATATCGCAACTTTCATGTTCAAAGATGAAGAACAAAGCTTCTGTTTTCTATTTATCAAGTGACCCACCTCAGACAGATCTGCAGCTGATACATTTTAACACACAAATCAACACATAACCAATAAAAACAGTACATGTGTGAAAAGTGAAGAACCTAAGATACAAGATGATTTCATTTCCTGACTGGCTTTAGGCGAACATCTTGCGCAGGATTTTTAATTTTTAATTTTTATTTTTAGGCTATAGATGTTTCTTAATGATGTTCACTTCTTTCCTCAGCTCATACCCAGAGGTTACTGAAACTGCAGTCCATCCTCCGACGAGCCCCGAGCTACCGCACGCTGGAGCTGCAGCTCATCGAGTGGCAGGAGAGAGAGCTCTTCGAGTACTTTGTGGTGGTCTCGCTGAAAAAGAAACCCAGCAAGAACTCCTACACCCCTGAGGTCACCTATCAGTTCCCAAAGGTAAAAGACTCAATTACAACTCCATCTAAGTGATCTTTATTAGTTTTATTACACAATATAAAGTACATATCCGGCTGTGCTGTTAGAAATTGGTGAAGTCGTTGGCTGTGTCTCAATTGAGGGTTTGCAGTCCACTTAGAGGACACATATTGGCCTCTTATGTCACTGTGCCACACTGTAGGCGGCTGTCCCTCAAGTCATAGGGGCCTACTCATGCAACCGACAAAACCCCAAAAACATAGGCTGTGTCTGAGTATCCTACGTGGCCGACAATATCCCAGGATTCATTGTGCCGTCAGCAAACTAAACAGAGAAACAAGACAACTGAGTTTGGTTTTTTTTTTATGGGATAGTTTGGAAATTCATCACGGACGGAAGAGTTGTTTTAAAAATGCGTGTTTAGCAACTTATTTATTTATTTATTTATTTATTTATTTTACCATTATTTAACCAGGAAAATCCCATTGAGATCACATATCTCTTTTACAAGGGCAGTCTGGGCTGGGAAACCGATTCCTTATTTAAGCTGATGAAATTTATGCTGCAATGAGACATTAAAGATAACGCAATTATACAGTAAGTACTGATACTGGAAATAACCCAAATTATTGATGTTTTTATTTATTTACTCTTAACTTTTTTTAATAATACTGAATTTTGTGAAGTTATACCATGAAGAGACAGCTAGGCCTGTGATATGAAACATAGCACCGTGGTAATGGGGCAGCATGTAAGGTGTGGACTATGTGGGCCATGATCTTTGTGGGCTGCAACCCCTGAATTGAGACACAGCCAGTGTCTCCAGCGTTTCCAAGGTTTTCCTCAGGGTCTCCTCCCAGTTGGACATGCCTGAAGCACCTCCCTGGGGAGGTGTACAGGAGGCACCCTTACCAGATACCCCTGGACCACCTCAACTGGCTCCTCTCGATGTGGAGGAGCAGCGGCTCTACTCTGAGTCTCTTCTGGATAACTCAACTTCTCACCCTATCTGAGGGAGAGTCCAGCTACCATGAGGAGGAAACTAATTTCGACCGCTTGTATTCGTGATCATGTTCTTTTGGTCAATACCCAAAGTTTGTGGTTAGACCGACAGATAAACAGAGAGATAAACAGAGAGTTTCTCCTTACAGCTCAGTTCCCTCTTCGTCCCAACAATCCGGTACAGAGTCCGCAATCCTTCAGAAGCTGCACCGATCCATCTATCAATCCGGAGAGGGCAATCCACCCTTTTCCAACAGAGGACTATGGACTCCCCTGTCTGCACCGAGAAATTCTGTCCATAAAAGTTGTGAACAGAGTCGAGGACAACGGGCAGCACTGGCGGAGTCCAACCCTGAGGGGGTCCGACTTACTGCTGACAATGCAAACCAAACTCTTGCACTTCTTCTATAGGGGCTGAGCGCTCCCTGTATCTGAATTATTTTTATTCTAAATATTACTGCAAATSATTATTTTGAGAAAAAACAATTGTGACATAAAAGTTCAACTTTGCCTCTGTCATTATTTATAACAGGGGCTTTGTGTGTTTGTTGACAGTTAAAATAGTTGTGGGCAGTTTCATGTCATAACTCAGAGACCCCCGTGAGTCTGCTTGGAAATGAAAATAACTGGAATTCAGTCATGTGACTCTGAAATGTTGTCAGTAGTTAGAAAATAAATTTCAAAGTAGTTCGGTTGAGCAGAATTGTCCTTCAGCGAGGGATGCCCATCTCTGCCATCCAGGCGGACGGTCACTCCGAGCCAGTGGGGACRGAGAGACGGGGTTCAAAGGTTCAAACTTTAACACGAGACGTTTCAGGCTGGTTATTTTTAGGTTCTCTGTGGACAGCTTTATAATAAAAGATAACAGTCGTGTTGCCTCCTCTTGCAGTTGGAAAGGCCCACCAAGCAGATGAGGGAGGCAGAGCAGAGGCTTAAAGCTATTCCTCAGTTCTGTTTCCCAGATGCAAAAGACTGGAGTCCTGTTTCTGAGCACACCAGGTATCCTCAACACAAACGCATCATCATTCTTCCTACAGTTTGTGGAAGAAAACTGATCATTCCCACATGTTCAAACGAATGCAGATGTGATCAAACCTGCCTTTTATTACAAACTACTGCCACTTTCTGCATTATCTATGTGTTTGAGCTGATTTTGATTTATTTTTTATCTTTTTTCGTTCTGCAGCGAAACTTTCTCTTTCATGCTGACCGGGGAGGACGGCAGCAGGAGGTTTGGGTACTGCAGACGCCTCCTGGTAAGCTCCRGTTCAGCTCCTGTCCCCCCACCCGCCGAGCCACGTTTGTTGTGACAGACGCTTCTGTTTGAACACACGACGCCGTTTTCCTGTTCGGCGATGTTCGTGCGCAACAAGAAATTAATCGTTTGAGATTAAAACCAACAGGGAAAAAAAATAAATGCACGAAGAGACTATCTTTCTAACTGTTTTAGCAGCTGACCAGGAAATAGCTTCACATAATGTCAGTGGGAGAATAACAGACATTCAGACCACCCGTTTAACATCAGTTATTTCAGTTTGTCACAGCCTGTAAAATAAAATTTAACGATTTCCATAAATCTGTCATTACAAATGGATTCTGACCAAAATGTTGCATACCGTCAAAATGGCTCGAATTTAGTCAAACTCAGAAAAAATGCATACAAAATATGATAATAAAAATATAATCACTGAGGATAAAGACCCGGCTAGGATGGACTCGTTTACTTTAACAAGGGTTTCTCAGGCGAAGCAGGACGAACAGAAACCAGGAAAAATCCAAACGCCGTCATTCTGGAACATTTCCTCCCTGTAATGAGGCTGCGTGGCGCTTTGAAGTGTTTTGCTGAGCCTCCCATTTAGCCTGCGGGCTGGGAGCATGACTGTGTGGGATTCTGTGACTCCGCAGCTGATTTTGTCAGCCGTTTAGCTCTTCTCGAGCGTGTTTACGCTGCTGCGCTGTGTACGTTTGCGAATGTTTACTCTTGAGTTTGTTTACAACCGTGAATGTGAAATCCGTATTTTTTTTTGTCCGATAACATATTTTTAACCCTCACTTGTGCCTGATTTGCTCTGTTCTTGTGAGATTCAAGGAAGGCAGATTTTAATGAAGGCAGAATAACAAGAGCTGCTCTCATCCAGTAACTTTGTTTCCTCCCTGCTGTCCCGTCCAGCCGTTGGCAGTAACCAAGCATTCCTGAGGACTTGAATCAAGCCCCACACAGTTGATTTAATCATCCATTTGGAAAAGCAGAGGAGAAACAAGAGGGGAAAATTGTATACCTAATATGGACAAGTGAATTGGCGCTTGTTGAGTGCTTGTATCCATTTGTGTCTTTGTGTTCTGAGGGCCTGGGTCGGCGCTCCTGGTGATTCAAAGCACATAATGGTTTAGAAGAGAGCAGAAAAGATGATCAGCAGGAARAGATAAACTTGTGTTTGAGGAGGAGGTTACCACATAAAAAGACTTTCGCTTCAGAGGACAGATTAAATTAAAGACCTCCGCGTGTTATCCTGCACTGCCCCGGTTGTTTGCATGACTTCTTCCATCATGACTTTTTAAAATTGTTATTATATTTTAATGAACAGATTTGTACAAACAGTCCAGTTTATTCAGGCTGTGAACAGAGACATTCTCTGTAAATCTGACTGACTCTAAACAATACCATTAAAGACGTAATTAACTCCGTTAAAAGACAATTTTGTGTTTTAAAAAAAATTAAAGATACCAGACAGTCTGCAGGCGGTGCTCGGATGTTAAATGCACTCCATAAAACCCCACCTGTAGTCAACTCTCATTGTTATCCAGCGTTCTGTAAAGTGTCTGCTGCTGTTTACCCTGTAGGGCTTAAGCATATTAAACTTTTTTAAGAGTGTGTGATTATTAACAGGAATTTACTGTAAGCAGTTGAGCTCTACGGAAAGTTAGAAGTTCACTGTTGTGTTCATAAAACTGAGGATAACGGCACAGAAACATAACATCCCTGCTGTCGGTCTTTACRGTACACTATATCCTGCAGCTGATACTAGAAACCACAGTCTGCCTGTGACCCATTACCAACAATTATACTCAACTGGAAACTAATTAGAATGAAAATTAGTTTGTTACAGAGGTGTTTAAGTGAACTCTGTTCTGGTGCTGGATTTGGCGACCTTTTTTTTACCCTCCTCCTGTTTTAATCTGAGGCCTGAATCCCCTCTTCGGATATGTTGGCTTCATCTAGCTAGTTGAATTTAAAGGGGTAATTAAGCACTTATTGCTGCAAATGTCATGCTAAATGGAGGTTTGTYAATGATTCATGTATTACTGAAATGAAAAACAGTTTACAGAATGCACCAGTGTATTACAGAGCTCTACTTCATCCTGTACAACTTGAWATCGAGCTACTGGGTATACCAACAATAATAATCCCAATACAATAGTGTGARCTATAAACGCCTACAAACCTGCTGATCCGGTTCTTCTGTTGTTTTTCTGTTAAGATGTGTTCTCCATCTGTTTCCCTACCTGTAGCAGATTTATAACAATCAGGCTGTGTTGAGAYAATAAAAGTTTCAGCACATGCACATATCATGTAGTAACGACTCAGTTGCTTGAGTTTGACAAATGCGTGGTTTTATTTTCTGACTGAACACCAGGGAAGCAGCATAAATTAAAGAAGATGGAGAGACAGATCTCATTGCAGTCTGGAGGAGGACTGTGCAGTTAARAGCTATTTTATTTCTCTATAGCAGGGGTGTCAAACTCATTTTCACCGAGGGTCACATGAGCATTTAACTGTAGTTGTAATTAACGTTGACGTTTCGTGTTCAACTCCGACTAAACGTCACGTTCCTCGTCTCATTGCTGCAGACGCTCAAACAATAACTGAGCTCTATGTGGTATATGGTGCATAGAAACAGTGTTTTAACACGTCCTCTTATAAACGCTGAAAAACACTACATGTACGGCTGACTAAATGTCAAATAAATAATGCCAAAATGCATTTAAAAGTAAGAGAGTTTTACTCACTAACGAGTTGTGGTGAGTAGCTTCTATCTTGAAWACTGAACTTTCTCACCGGCAGGGACTTCCCACTGGAGGGGCATTCCAGTTTAAATTTACTACTTGCAAGTAGGAAATTCCCATTGCCCAGTACAACTGGGCCGCAGCAAAAAWATRTAGCGAAATGCGGGAAAAWTTAAATTTTACACAGCAAARTTTMCAACTTTTGAACCCTGTGCACCTCCAYCTACTGGTGGGACYCRGTCATTTRGTGGGTAAAATAATCGACAGGCATTATGGGAGATGTGATTTATGGTCAATGCTGACTTTAAAGCAGCATATGCTCTTTTTAAGACAATAATACTTTTTAAAGCTCTCGTGGGCCACATAAAATGCCTTGGCGGGCCACATTTGGCCCACAGGCCTTGTATTTGACACATTCTATATAAGATAGAACATTTACACCTGAAGAATAAATACATAAATTATAATATTTATTTAATTATAAAAAGTTATAAATTAAATTTATAGAATTAATCGCCATTAAATACTACAATTCTGCAAATTTAGGGGAAAAGGGAAACTTGTTTAATTATCTGGAGGCTTAGACTAGAATATTTTTTTGACTCTGTTGTTTTTATTGTTTTATGATGACTCCTAAAGCTTCCCCAGCTCAATGGAAGGGTAAAGCTATACTGTTGGATTGTTCCATATGTGTATTTATAGTTGTTTTTTAAGCACATCTGCAGATGAATCTCTCCAGCTGTGTTTTCTCGCTCTTCCAGCCAACAGGGAAAGGACCTCGCCTTCCAGAGGTGTACTGTGTCATCAGCAGGCTGGGCTGTTTCGACTTGTTCTCCACTGTAAGTTCAGTTTCATGCTTGTTTCTGTGTARACACACACACYCACGCACGCACGCTCACTCAGCCGCCTCTCTCTGTGGTGCTGTGGCTGTGGTTAACCGTCTGACATCTGATGGAAATGACTCTCAGTTGTGCCTCTGCAGAACACCTGATCATGAGCTGTCCTCACTTCAGCTTTCCTGATTTCCCAGAACTCTTTCTGTGACTTTTGAGTCACTAGTGTTCAAACTGATTAAACTCTGTTTGACTTCTCCAGCCTTATCTGATTGCTTTGTTATTTCAAAGTAACTGAAACCAGACTTATAATGGACACAATGTATTTCAAAGGTASAGTTACAAACATGAATTTGTGAATAACTTTGCTGAACATTGCCATTTTGCATTCCAATATTTTAGGATCTAATAGAACAGTCCAAAGAGGCGGGAGCTTTTAAATATTTTTATTTTTATGTTTAGATCCGGGGTTTGCAAGCTTTGTGATCAAAAGAGCCATTTCTGCTACTTGGCTCACTAATAAAACGTGTGCAGAGCAGCAAGCTACAAC